TACGAACATTGTTATTGACGGAGTCACCAATAATAGGTGTTTCCTGGGTTGTTCCGATATTGACATATTCATTTACGCAACATACTTTATTGCTGCTACAACTACCTGCTCTAAATTATAAAGAAAAAGTAAAAATTTRATGATCATCTTTCTATTAGAAAAAATATTAAATTTTCGGCTGTAGCCCATAAGCGCAAAATAATTTTATAAAAAGTGTATTTTATCAAAATCATATAGTTATTAATATACTATGATATTCGTGATTATAAAATGTGTATTTAAATATAAAATATATAAATAATTATAAAAATTGTATTTAATATAATAGCAACAAATTACTAATAAATGTTTTGTTATTAAATTTGAAATTTGAAGCTCACAGATTTTAAGTAATCCAATCTTGAAATATTTTTTATCGTAATTTGTTACGATAAAATTCGATAATACTAAATAGTAAATACTAAATTAAACTGAAATAATACTACTATAATAATTTAAAAATGAAACATATAGTGTAACGGGTACAATATTGTATCAGGTAATACAGTTTATTTTTGTGCTTTTATACCACTACTAAGGTACAAAAGCGTCAAAAGCGCAAATTTGTTTTGCGCTTTTGGTTTATCGAAAAAAATTGACCTTTTGCGCTTTTGGGCTTCGCCKAATGTTCGGAATAATATAGTAAATAATAAAGTACAATTAATAATATAGCATTAAATTATTGTGTATTAAATATTAAATTTAAAATTACATAAGTTTCATTTAGTAATAACTAATAATAGGTACCTACTCCTTATACGGTTATATACTATTTTCAAAAACTAATGATTACCTAATATAAGAACTTTGCTGTTCATTACTACCATTAGGAGGTAAACATTGATTTCTGGAGACACATGTGCATGGCTTATTATTCTCAACATGAGGTTCCTGTGTAGTTGAACTAATTTCTGGTAATTCAGACGACGGTATATACGATTCGGTCACTGGTGTTGAAGGTACATCACTTTGTACTCGGCAACATACCAAATCGCCACAACCCGATTCTGTAGATCTG